ATCTGGCACAGGATCTGGCACAGGGGATCTGGCACAGGGGATCTGGCATAGGGGCTGGCACAGGGGGCTGGCACAGGGGGCTGGCACAGGGGATCTGGCACAGGGGATCTGGCACAGGGGGCTGCCACAGGGGGCTGGCACAGGGGGCTGGCACAGGGGCTGGCACAGGGGATCTGGCACAGGGGGCCTGTGGCGTGTTGTGTCCTGCATTAAGGTGACCCCGGTGCCGGTGGTGGGGCTCCGGCTCCCCGCACCCACCGTGGGTGGGAGGACCCGGCGGCTGCTCCCCCCATGACATCCAGCTGCAGGGCAAAGCTCCTGTCCCTCAGCCAGGGAAAGGCAGCCCCAGGAGCCTGGCCGGGGCCCAGGCTCATAAACCGCTGCTATTTTAAGGGATTGCAGACAATTTTTCTTAATTTATCAAGCCCGAGGCCAGGAGTTGGTTCCAAAGGAAATGCTTCCTTAGCAATAAAGGGAACCACAGAAGAAACTTTAAATGCAGCAGCCTCTGCCTCCTTGCCTTATCCAACAGCCGGGCAGTGACCTGGAAAAGCAGAGCCACCAGCATGAAAAGGAATGTGCCAGGGGAACAGGGCTGTGCAAGTAAGTGTGAAGAGAGCATCAGGAGCACCAGGGGTACCAGATGGTCATCAGAGGGATGTGAGACAGCAGGGATGCTTCCAGCAGACAGCCCACCCTTGAGGAAGAGGTAGCTGCTGTTTGAATGTCTGAACTCCCAGAGAGAGACAGGCAGATTCCTTGGAGCCGCAGCCTGCCCCACTCCCTCCCCCACAGACAGGAAAACCATAAGCCTTTTCTCCCTTCCATTCTGTGTGTAACGTTCCTGTTCCTTGACCAGACTGGCCATTGCTGCTGCCTCCCAGCCAGAGCCAGAGATCCAAGACCCCCAGGCAGCACACCAGTGGTTCCCATCCCCACGGGTGCTGGATGGATACTCCATGGGCTCTGACCAGTGCCAAGGGCAGATGGACAGCAGCTCACGTGGCTCTGCGCAGGCCTGTTTGCCTGCCTACATAAATTAATCAGAGCTAATTGGCTTTTCAGTAAGTCTTCTTTGCAGGAGCTCTGCAAAGAAAGACTTTGAAGTAGGACTGTGAGTGGCAGAATCTTTATTTAAACACACAGTAACACAAGGACAGGCTCCCGGCCCCAGCACCACTTCCTGCTCCCTTCAGCGTGGATGCCAACAGGTTCAAATCTCGTGCATAACCTTCTCCTTCCATTATGTGCACCCAGTTTATTTACATCTCACTGGTTACAGGAGACAAACAACATTCACCAGAGGTGACACTTGACAAGAGCTGGCTGCACCCAGTGACAGGACACAAACTACTGGTGCCATGGAACCTTTCCCAAGCAAGGGACCGTGGCCCAGCTCTTCCCATCCCCACACTGCCAGAATGAGACAATCCCTCGCACTTTAGGAGGATGCAACACTGCAGAGTGGAAGTGGATGCTGCAGGTCAGAGACGTGTGTGATGCAAAAATCCTGTGCAGAGATCAACTGCTCCAGTTCCCCTCTGCACCACTTTTGAGATCATTAAGGAAAACACGGGAGCTGTCTTTCCCTGCCCTGGTCACACCAAGCTGCTTTTACTGTGGGTTCCGAGCTCTGGGCTAAGCAGATCCAGTGCAGTTAAGCCGTTAAGCTCACCTGAATAGGGCTGCTCTGTGTGAGGCTGCTAACTCAGAACCACTCCAAAATATAGACATACATTCATAGACTCCCCACACCAAGAAAGGATTTAGAAACTTTCCAGCTCAGCTCTCCAGTTAATAAATAATTGGCTCCAGAAGTACTGCAGTGATCCAAGGCCTGAGAGGATGGGGGTGGAACCTGTGGCACAGCCAGTGCAATGGCTTATCCCTCCTCAGGGCTCTGGGTGCATGGCAGAGCTTGGTCACTGCTCCAGTCTCCCAGACTGGAGACTGAGACAAGGTCCATGACAGAATCAAGGTGTGAGGGGCTGAAAATTGGGATCACAAGGCTGGGATGGCTATGTGGGGTCACAAATGAACTTGTGCCAGACTGAGTATTGCCCAGCTACCCATGGGACTTTGCTCCCATTAATTTAATCCCATCTGAGCCCCAGCTCCAGCAGCAGCTTCAGTGACACTGGCCAAAGTATCACAGGGCAGGAGACAGGGGGTGACTGCAGCAGGTGTGAGTGCCCCAGCAGCTCCCAGGCTGTCACAGAGTCAGCACAGCCATGGCAAGAGGCAAAGGACATGCCGAGGAACCAAGGAGCCTTCAAGCTTTTCACAGCATTGAGAAAGTAGCAGCATAAAAACACCCCTCAACCCCAGCATTCACTCTCTATCCAAGGCCTCTCTGTGTCCACCTGGGAGTGAGATGCAAGCAGGTGGAGGGGGATGCTCTGGACAGGAGCACAAACTGAGGCTCCAGGTTTCTTACTCTTCTTTCAGCTGTCTCAAAAAACAAGTGCTTAGAGGAGGAGTGGCCCTGAGGCAGCATCAACAATCATCTCCATCCAGGCAAGGTGAGCCCTGCTGCCCCAGGCTCATTCAGCATCACGTGTAGTTGCCAGGACCACCCAGGGGGATTACAAAAACAGAGATGTCATCACCAGAGCCCAGTTTGTCGTTGGCCAGCCGCCAGCCCCGCTCCTTCAGCACCCCTCGTGACCGCACCACCAGCTCCTGGGCCACCATGGTGTACCTGGAGGCACAGGAGAGCACAGCTCAGCAGTGACCCCAAACCTGCTGATGCAGCATCCTGGCAAGGAGAGAGAAGCTAGAGGTGCAGGAAATGGTCCCTTGGAGAGTGCCAGGCTCAGATATGCACATCCAGGGGAACAATGCACACTGTGGAGCCCAGAGGGATGCGTGGCCACACCACTGCTCTGAGGAGCCAGGCCAGGGGCAGGTAGTGGAGTGCACAACATGCCCATCTCCCTGCCCGCTGGGAGCTCACCTGCATGGGTCGTTGGGCTCGTAGCTCGTCAGCACCTCCATCACCACACCAGCCACCTCCTTGTCATTGGTGACATCCCAGAGCCCATCAGTGCCCAGCACCAGAACATCATCAGGGCAGTGCTCATACTGCGTGAGGTCATAAACCCTGACCTGGAGGCGACAGGGAAAGATGCAAGGGTGAGAGGCAGAGAGGCAGAGGAGGCTCCTGCTGCACTCAGGGATCTGGTCCTGCCGAGTGGCTCTGGCCATTGAAGGAACCCCTGGGTGGAAGCGACCGGCAGCCAGGCTTACCTCTGGGAAGCAGGACAGGAAAGGCTTGATGTGGATGTTGGAGCTGAACACCTTGAGGTCGTGATCTCCCAGGCCTCTTGTGACCCCAATTGTGGCCATCATCCGAGCCTGAAGAATGGGGAAATCAAAAGAGAATTTTAAGCAGCTTTATCTCTAGCTCCATTCCCAGCTGAGAATTGGTGATGACAGCACCACCAAAAAGGGGCTGAAATCCCCCAAAATAGTGAGAGCAGGCAGGGAACAACCTCAGCCATACTTCTGCTTCTTCAGTACTTTACCTTTTTGCCTTCCCCAAAGATAAGTGGGAACTTCAGGTCATCTTCTTCTATCTTTTTGTAAGCCCTGGTTAAAATAAGCCAGAGACAAGATGTCAGCAGGTGAAGGCTTCCAGCACCTCCACTGACCACTTGGGACCTGGGTACCCAGAGTGCCAGAGCCCCCTGCCCCGTGCGATGGGATGCCAGAGATGAGCAGCCACCAGAGCAGGACCCCAGTGCCACCAGCAGGTTGGGGGTTACCAGCCATTCATGTTCTGGTCCCTGTAGAGCATCTTCTTCCCCAGCTCCTTGGGCTGGATCCTGCGGGGGAACTCCAGGTGGGTGAACTCCTTCCCCAGCAGCTCGGGCCTTAGCAATGCCTGCAGGAAGAAGGGTCAGCACAGCCACAGGGCTGGGAGAGTGGGCTCTGTGGACCCAGCCCTGCCCAGATCAGGATCCACCATCCACTGTGACTTTGGCTACAACATTCTGTGGTAGGATAACATCGGCCGCTCTTGAGCCACTTGAATGGGTGCTGGCAAAGCAGCTTCAAACCACCCACCTGTGCTAAGCCAGAGGGGAAACTGGAGCTGAGGACAGCCATGCAGCACTCAGCAAGAAGGTGAAGCTTTTGCATAAAGAGTTTTGGGAAATAAAGATCTCTGAAAGGGATCAAACAATCAAACCCCAGCAAATTCCAGGAGAAGCTGGAATTTACCCAGAAGGAGTCATAGCTGCAAACCTCTCAGGGTCCCAGGCTCAGCGCAGGGCATGACACTCACCCAAGGAAAAGAGTGATAAGTCTTTTCTGAAACAGTGTCCCAGCTGTGACCCTGACAAGGGATGAGCAGCAGCACAGGGCCCTTCCCAGGGCAGTCCCAAGCTCTCATGGAGAACAGTGTCAAGGAAACTGGGAGCAGGGAGTGTTGGAAAATGCCGAAGGGGAAAGAAAAGCAGGGAGAGAAGAGGAGATCCCTTGGGAAGATGGAGTGGCAGGGGCTTGGTGCAGAGGTATAGAGACTCCCAGCCCACTCTGGGGGAGCCCTGACCACAGCTTCACATGGCAGAGCAGCGTGTGCCTGTCCCCAGCCTGCACCTTGCCCCTCGCAGCCAGCTGGTAAGATTCTGATCACAGCAGCTTCCTCCTCTCGGTCATTCAAAAATAGATTCAAGAGAAAACACCTCAGTGTTTTTCCAAGTACATTGCAAACCAGGAAATTTCATCCACCAAGACCTTCTCCAACACAAACTCCTCCCTTGTGCTGCTCTCAGAGAGGTCTTTATAACCTTAAAGAGTCTCTCTGAGTGGCACCGGGGGTTCATCCAAGAGAGGGACAGGGAGCTTTCAGGGCGAAGGACAGAAACCCGTTGGCACACATCAGCTCTGACTCTCCAGAGAGCAGCCAGGGAAGAAACTAGGACTCAGCAGGAGCACTGCAGCTCCTCTGACAGTGAAAAGGAGCAGGGTGCACAGAGGGAGCAGAGCCTTGCTCCTCCAGGTCACAGCAGCTGAGGCAAGGGACGCTTCTTGTCCCCTGGACAGCAACAGGGCAAGATAGACCAAAACTGGCTCCATGCAAATGTAGCAATCCAGCCCCATGCCAAAAGCCTGGCCTCTCCATGTCCTGGTTGTGCCAGGCTTGCAGTCACAGACCCTGACACTGAGCCCACAGCAAACCAGGCCTCTGCCAGCCACAAGACATCCCCATGCCAGCTCCCTGCATCCCAGTGCCTCTTCCTGTCCCAGGGAGCAGTCTGGGATGGACAAGTGCCAACAGCAGGTCCCAGCCATGGGGCTGCCCTTGAGTCCAGAACCCCACCATGGCAGCAGCCCAACAGGCAGCACAGGGGACTGGGAAGATGCCCGGAGGTGTTTCATCAGGAAGGAGGTTAGAAGAAAGGTCTTTCTTACTAAAAACTGCAGCCTCTGCCTTTCTGTCTCTGGAGTAAACTCCCTGGACATTGGAATGATTTCCCCATTACGGATGATAATGGCCCTGCAATGAAACATGGAAGGATGAGATTAGAGAGAAGACTTGGCGGAGGAGCTGAGCCTGGCTTTCCAGAGCTTATTCCCAGGAGTGGTGCAACCCTTTCCCTCTGCTGCCCACCCTTTTCCCAGCCCGAGGTGGGGGCTGGATTCAGTGTCCCCCTGGGCAGGGCATGGCATCCCTCCTGCCTGTGCAGGAGAGGGGCAGGAAGGAAGGGAGATGGGAGAGAAGCATGGGGCAGAGGAGAATGGAGCAGACCAAATCAATGAACAGGATATGGTTAGAAAAGGAGCAGCACAAAGGTGGGGCACCCTCCTTTAGAGGGGAGCTGCACACAGCAGGAGCAGAAATTGCCTACAGCAAGACACAGGTTTACATGCCCATCCCACACCAGCACTACCACTGGCTGCTGGGGCTGCTCTTACAGTTAAATGTCTCAAAAACACATAAAGGTCTGATTATGAGATGTTTCTGGATGTCATGGTAGGCCCAAGGATCTACAGCACTGGTGGATGTGAGTTGCCTCCAAAGATTTAAGGCCAGGCTGAGCTCATCTCTGGAAGTGTCTGATACCTGAGAAGGTAACACAGACTGTTACCCAGAGGCACAGTTACAGCCTCAGGACCTGTGCACGCTGACATCCTGCATGGCTGGTGCCTGGCCGCTGCTGCCATGGAGGGGGACCTACACCCAAAAGCAGAGGTATGAGGGATCTCCTTTGTCCCAGAGCTGGAAGCACATCCAGCCTCAAAACATTGACCAGAGCCTGCATTAGCTGGTCTGACATTGCTGAGGACAAGGTAACCCGCAGTAGACCTCTAGTAACCCAGAGCAACTGTAGCTGCCCCATTCTCAGAAATGTTCAAGGCCAGGTCAGACAGGTCTAGTGGAAGGTGTCTGTAAATGGCAAGGGGTGGACCAAAATGAGCTTTAAGGTCCTTTCCTACCCAAAGCATTCTTTGATCCAGTGATAAATACAGAGCAGTTCAAACCAGCTTCACCTGCAGTGTCACCTTTAGTGTAAGGTGGACCTGCCCTTCTGCCATTGCTTGGAGGTGTGGGCCCACAGGGGTGCAGTTCCAGTAGCCCACCTCTGGAAATATATATGGCAATTACAATTGCCATAAGAGCTTCCACTGCACTTATCTGCACATAGATTTGTGTCGTTCTCCTGAAACAGCTCACTGCTATAAAGTGGACTCTAAATGACTTCTTGCATATTTTGAAAGCTTTCCTGAGCACAGTCTTCACTCTCCAACCTGAAGCCCAGGCCAGTGCCAGCAGCAGGGGCCAGGGTGTGATCCAGAGCCATCTGGGTAGCAGAGAGGATGTTTTTAAAAAGAAAGGGAGCACATCCCAGATTCTGGGAGGCAATTCTACAGCCTTATTTGTGCACCTGGCAAACACAGAGATCACAGCAGGGTACATTGTCCCTGGGGCATGAAGCAGGCAGGGGATGACTCTGCCCAGTTCTGCCACCTTCACCCTCCCTTAGAGAGGGATGGAGCTGGGCTCCTCACCAGCCATCCTTCTGGCACCACCCCACTCTACTGGGGTGTCCCCAGTCACTGAGCAAAAGGTGAGGGCTGTCCTGTGGGGCTGTACCTGCTGTCACCAGCGTTGGCCACGTAGAACTTGCCCATGAGGTAGATGGCAGCGAGGGCGCAGCACCCCCCGGCCAGGTGCTGGGATGCTCGCTCCCGCTCGATCTGGTCGTCCTGGGGAGACAGAGAGGCTACAGGGTATGTGGGCAGCCCCAAATAGCACCTGGTTGCACCAGCAGCACCTCAGCTCCAGGTGGGAAGCAGTGACCAGCCAGGGTACCTTTCCCCACACAGCCACAGAGAGGCTGTAGGGCTTGGAAGGCCAGGGGTCGCGTGGGGCAGCCAGGGATGTGGCGTCACTGGGGCAGTGGGACAGGCAGGAGAGAGGAAGACAGGAGGGGAGCAGGTGGGCCTCCTGGAAAAAAGTGCAGTGAAGCTTTCTGCACCCACACAGGCCTGGAGCTCAAAGCCTGTGCATTCTGAAAGCTCAAAATGTGGAGCATTACAGAGCTCCCCAAGATCATTATGCTTGGAGCCCTCCCTGCAGTCCCCTCCTTGCTGCAGAGCTGCCTTTTACCAGTGGGGTCAGTCAGACACGGCCAGCAAAGAGATGCTCCCAGGGGATGCCCTAGATGATCCCACAGGCAGGGGATCCTCACCATGTGCTTAAAGGCATTCTCAATGGCACCGATCACCAGGCTCTCGTGGGACACTGCTTTCTCCAGGTGAAACCGTGGCGCAGCATCGTTTGGGACCTCCCCACAGTCCTCCGTATAGGACATGTGGTTTGGATCTGCAGGACCGGTCTTTGCGCCGTGCGGGAGGCAGATGGGAGGTGGGGAGGGGTCCTGCAGGATCTCCACGAGGTCCCGGAGCTGCTCACAGATGTGCAGGTGGAGCCTCTGGGATGCCATGACAGCAGCACCGCTGCCCGCATGACCATCGAACAAGGCCCAGTAGTGGAAATAAAAACCTTTCTTGCCCTGCAGGGAGAAGAGGGAAGGTTAAATGAGTTTGCAAGGAAGCAGATGGGATGGGGAATTCAGAGTAGCTGGGGCCACTGGCTGAGGACAGTGACACGAGACTCACAGGTCTCAGTGAAGGCAGGAACACTGTGGGCAGCTGACCAAGGGTGTCTGGACACAGCTGATCCCTGACTGAAGCCCAGCCCTGCATCAGACACCTCGTGGCTCCAGCAGCCTCCAAAGGGGAGGCACCACGGTGCCAGCACAGCCAGCAGCCACCTCTGCAGCCCACCAGGGCACGTGGGCCACTGGTAGCCCTGGGCCAGCCAGCCCTGGTGTAGTCACGTGGGGATGGAGTGTGGCAGGAGCAGGCAGAGTGAAGGGCCACAAACGGAGGGAATCCGCAGTGTGCACACATTGCCGTGTGTCCCATCTCATGCCCTGCTGCTGGGCATCTTCCCTGTTGTGAACCACCACATCTCTCACCCCATCCAGCTCCCCGCTGCCTTCCCTGGATGGCAGCCGGCCCCTTGGGCTGGGCCTCTGCTCCACAAACACCACCTCACAGCATGCCTGGTCCTCATTGTGCTGGCTCTTCCCTGCATTTATCACCCTGCCAGAAGGAAAACAGGTGTAAAGGCCCTTTCTTTCACATATCATGTTCCAGTAAATGGCATCCTGCGGTACCCCCTCCCCCCAACCCCAACTCATGTCCCCAAGTCCCCAGGGATGTCAGGGATGCCCTGCACAGGTGCTCCTGCCCTGTCCTGTCCCAGGTGTCCCAGACCAGTGGTGTGGGTTGATCTGGAGCCAGGAGCAACATTGAATCCCATCCACAGCAGGGTCCAGGGGGGAAGCAGTTGTCCACGCGCCTACCAAGGGAGGTGACCAGAAACAAAATGGGTTTGCTGAAGGTCTCTAGCACTGCCCCAGGCAGAAAAATTGTCCCAAAACCTACATCAGTCTTAAATACACATGCCTGGGACACTGGGAGAAACACAGCCTCACCCGTGTGCCATAACCTCTCGTGGGGAGCAGGGGGCTCAGGGAAGGAGAGGAGAGGGCGATGATGATGAAACCAGTAGAACTTTTGCAAAAAGATTCACACTGATTTTTCCCAGCCTGTGCTGACACAGCAGATTTCAGGTCGAGATTGCAGAACCTGCTTATAGGAAGAAGCTGTAAACACAGCAGGGTGATTTTTCTTTGGGCAGACTTTCCAAGTTGTTTGCAGAAAGAACTCTTGGGACACCAAAAAAGGGGATTTTTCTCACTCTGGGTACTCGTACCCCACGATCTCCAGGGGCAAATCAACATCTCATAAAGCTCTCTAGGATATCGGGAGATCAGCTCGAGGAAGGAATGCGGGAGTGAGCTGACAGCACTAAGCAGCAAAAGCCTTCGAAGTCTGATCTTCCCGTCCGCTTTCAGTTAGGGCTGAAACTCGCAGCTAGTGAAAGAAGACAATCAGGTCCTTGAAGGGGAAGTCTCAAGCAGGGTCACTCCCAGGAAAGCCCCGGCTCCCTGCTCCCCCCGAGTCCTGTCAAAGGCGCCGCAGCTCCTTCGCCCTCGGTACCCATCGGTCACAGCGGGCGCTGTGCAGAAAGCGCAGAAAACAAAACGGACAGAAGAGCCTAAACCCTTCGGGGTCGGTAAGAGCGCAGCCCTCGCTGATGCTCTCCCATCACGAGCATCCGCACCGCCCGCTCCTCGCTGCTGCGGCTGGAAAAGGGACAGACGCAGCTCCCCGCCCGCCGCGACCCACTTTCGTCCCCGAGGTCCCCGCTCCGGTGCCGAGCGGTGCCATCCTGCCCTCCCCAGGCTGCAAAGCGCGGCCCCGCTCCCGGCCCCGCTCACTCCGCGTATCCCGTGCTCCAGGGCAGGCGGCGGCGGCCGTCGCGGGGACTCTGCACCGCCCGCCCCGTGTGGTCGTCGGCGCGGCGCAGCTCCTCGGGAGTCAGCTGGAGGAAGGCCGGCCGGCAG